AGTTGGAGGCCATCGCTATTCGCCATCGCTAAGAGGTTGGAGGCCATAGGTATTCGGTTGGAGGTCATCGCTATTCGCCATCGCTAAGAGGTTGGAGGCCATCGCTATTCGGACTTATGATCGCTGGGCTGCCTGATCCGCTGATCCGCTGATCCGCGGGCTGATCCGGTGATCCGCTGATCGGCAGGGTGATCATGAGTGGCTATTCGGTTGGAGGCCGTTGCTATACAGTTGGAGGCCATCGCTATCCGCCATCGCTATTCGGTTGGAGGCCATCGCTATAGGTTGGAGGCCGTCGTTGCTATTCAGTTGGAGGCCATCGCTATTAGGTTGGAGGCCATCGCTATTCGGTTGGAGGCCATCGCTACTAGGTTGAAGGCCATCGCTATTCATTTAGGAGGCCATCGCTATTCGGTTGGAGGCCATCGCCGTTCGCCATCGCTATCAGGTTGGAGGCCGTTGCTTTTAGGTTAGGGGCCATCGCAATTAAGTTGGAGGCCATCGCTATTCGGTTGGAGGCCATCGCTGGGGGCCATCGCTATTAGGTTAGAGGCCATCGCTATTAGGTTTAGGTTGGAGGCCATCGCTCATTAGGTTGGAGGCCATCGCTATTCGGTTGGAGGCGAGCGCCATTCGGTTGGAGGCCTATTAGGTTGGAGGCCTTCGGTTGGAGGCCATCATCGTTATTGATTAGGTTGGAGGCCATTGCTTTTCGGTTGGAGGTCATCGCTTTTTGGTTGGAGGCCATCGCTATCCGAATGGATCGAGGCCATCGCTATTTGGTTGGAGGCCATCGCTATATTCCGTTGGAGGCCATCGCTTTTTGGTTGGAGGCCATCGCTATTCGGTTTGAGGCCATCGCTGGCAATCGCCAGTAGGTTGGAGGCCGTCGCTGGTAGGTTGGAGGCCATCGCTAGCAGGTTGGAGGCCATTGCCATGCCTTCTCCTTCCTTTGGGTTCAAGGTGCTTCCTCAGTGTCCTGAAAGATCCATGAGGCTGTAGATTTGAAAGGCTAAGGGAAAGTCTGCAACTCTCGAAGGAGCCTGCGAAAGATCTTGCCAGGGAGCCGGAGACAGCAGAGCGAGACGGTGGATCCCACCCACAGGCCTTTGCCCCAAAGCACCTTGCAGCCTATAGCCTATCCGGCTTTTTCGACTTGTGACTTTTCCCGAATGCGTAGCGAAGGGTTCTCGTTTAACTTGGGAGTCTGAGGGTAGAGCTGTGTTTGCCCGACGTTGTTTTCGAGTTCGCGACCGTCTGCAACCGTCCGCACCCGTCCGCTATTACATTGTGATTTGCATGAAAGTGACATGTCGCGCAAGAAACGTGATGCATTTCGCTGCACAGGCGCAGGGATTCGTGAAAGTGACACGTTTGTGGGTGTTCCATTGGGATTAGCGTTTGGAGAGTCGTGTTTTTTTGGGGTGTTGGATGTGGCCGTGCCATTGGGGTTTGCGTGTCAGGGTGTGGCATCGAAGCGCTGTTTTCGTGACAAGTCTCAGCTGAAATGGTGATTTTGGTGGATGGGAGTGTGCTCAGAACGGGCCGAAATCATTCCAAACGTGTGGTGTGGGGCAAATTTTTGTTGAAGTTCACATGCGATGACATTGTCACTTTTCATGGCAGGCGCAGTACTTTGTGCGGGTTTTGAGGTGTGGAAGTGCGATTTTCGTGGCAGGCGCAGGGAATCGTGAGATTGCGATGTGTGACGGCGGTGACATTTCGTGGCAGGCGCAGGACTTTGCGCGCGTTAGATGTGTGGACGTGGAAAGATTCGTGGCAGGCGCAGGGAATCGTGAGGTTGTGAGTTGTGTAGAGGTGAATGTCGCTGTGACATTGGGATTGGCGTGTGAGCGGGTGTTGTTTGGAGGGGCTGGGATCGCGAAACTGCTTGGCAGGGCTGCGCGATGGGTGTGCTCCGATGGGTGTTTCCGCTTGACTTTGGGAGGAAGTCTCGTACGAAACGCTCGCTTTGCAGACTTTGACATGTGAGTTTTTGGGGAAGTCTCGTACGAAACGCTCGTTTTGGAGCCATGACGTGTGACTTTTGGAGGAAGTCTCGTACGAAACGCTTGTTTTGGAGACTTGATGGATACTTTTGGAGGAAGTCTCGTACGAAACGCGCGTTTTGGAGACTTGGCGCGTGACTTTTGGAGGAAGTCTCGTACGAAACGCTCGTTTTGGAGACTTGACGCGTGACTTTTGGAGGACGTCTCGTACGAAACGCTCGTTTTGGAGCCATGACGTGTGACTTTTGGAGGAAGTCTCGTACGAAACGGTCGTTTTGGAGACTTGGCGTGTGACTTTTGGAGGAAGTCTCGTACGAAACGGTCGTTTTGGAGACTTGACGTGTGACTTTTGGATTATGACGTAAAATAGCAGATCAGACAGGGGCCTCTTAAGCTCGCTTAAAGCTCGCCCAAAACTCGTTTTCAAGCTCGCTTAAAACTCGCTTGTGCTGTGCTGATGTCCAATGGAAGCTCAAGAGTCAACAGGAAAGTCCAAATCAAATTCAACTGATCATTAAAAAGTTCAAGCAAAACTCAGGGAAAGTCCAATTAAAGCTCGCGCAAACGTAGTTTCCCGTGGCGTGAGCGTCGTGGTGAGTTCGGTGCTAGTTTATTTCGAGCTAAGCTCGCAGAAAGCTCGTGAAAAGCTCGTGCGCATTCAGTTTTTGAGCTTCGATTTGAGCTTTTGTCTAGTTTTCTTCTACCAAAGCTCGTCAAAAGCTCGCGCAAAGCTCGCCCAAAACTCGCTGAGCGGGCGCTTCCCTGGTTTCCCTAGCTCCTTGAGTTTCGCTTGAGCTTTCCTTTGAACCTGTGAGTTTTGCTTGGACTTTGCCTTGAACTTTTGAGTTTGGCTTGGACTTGCCTGAGAGGTGAGTTTTGGTTGGACTTTTGAAGTGAGTTTGGAATTTTTCTTCTTTCTATTTTTAAGTTATAGACCCCCTTGTCTTATCTAGCTATTTTACATCATAACTTTTGGAGGAAGTCTCGTACGAAACGGTCGTTTTGGAGACTTGACGCGTGACTTTTGGAGGAAGTCTTGTATGAAAGGAGACTGCCGCGTCGGAAAGTGACATACCTGGCAGGACTTTGTCTGTGTTGCACTTTCTAGCAAAATGTCTAGCAAAGAGTGTCAAGAAAGAGTGTCTAGCAAGAGTGTCTAGCAGAATGTCATTTCAAGAGTGTCCAGCAAGAGTGTCTAGCAAGAGTGTCTAGCAGAGTGTCCTGCCCAGCAAGAGTGTCCAGCAATAGTGTCTAGCAAAGAGTGTCCAGCAAGAGTGTCTAGCAGAGTGTCAAGCAAGAGTGTCTAGCAAACCACAGTGCCAAGCAAGAGTGCCAAGCAAGAGTGTCAATCAAGAGTGTCTAGCAAAGAGTGTCCAGCAAAGAGTGTCAAGAAAGATTGCCTACCAAAGAGTGTCAAGAGAGAGTGTCAAGCAAGAGTGTCTAGCAAGAGTGTCAAGCAAGAGTGTCCAGCAAGAGTGTCAAGCAAGAGTGTCGAGAGAAAGTGTCAAGAAAGATTGTCTAGCAAAGAGGGTCAAGAAAGAGTGTCAAGCAAGAGTGTCGTGTCAAGAAAATCCAGCAAGAGTGTGAAGCAAGAGTGGCCAGCGAGAGTGTCGAGCAAGAGTGTCAAGAGCAAGTGTCAAGAAAGATTGTCTAGCAAAGAGTGTCAAGAAAGAGTGTCTAGCAAGAGTGTCAAGCAAGAGTGTCCTGTCAAGAGTGTCCAGCAAGAGTGTCAAGAAAGAGTGTCACGCAAGAGTGTCCAGCAAGAATGTCTAGCAAGCAAGAGTGTCCAGCAAACGTGTCAAGCAAGAGTGTCAAGAGAGAGTGTGTAGCAAAGAGTGTCAAGAAAGAGTGCACAGCAAAGAGTGTCAAGAAAGAGTGTCAAGCAAGAGTGTCTAGCAAGAATGTCTAGCAAAGAGTGTCCAGCAAGAGTGCCCAGCAAACGTGTCAAGCAAGAGTTTCTAGCAAAGAGCGCCCAGCAAACGTGTCAAGCAAGAGTGTCAAGCAAGAGTGCCTAGCGAAGAGGGTCAAGATAGAGTGTCTAGCAAAGAGCGTCAAGAAAGAGTGTCAAGCAAGAGTGTCCAGCAAGAATGTCTAGCAAAGAGTGTCCAGCAAGAGTGTCCCGCAAAGAGTGTCAGGCAAGAGTGTCAAGAAAGAGTGTCAAGAAAGATTGTCTAGCAAAGAGTGTCAAGAGAGAGTGTCAAGCAAGAGTGTCCAGCAAGAGTGTCTAGCAGAGTGTCAAGCAAGAGTGTCCAGCAAGAGTGTCAGGCAAGAGTGTCAAGAGAACGTGTCAAGAAAGATGGTCTAGCAAAGAGTGTCAAGGAAGAGTGTCAAGCAAGAGTGTCGTGTCAAGAGTGTCCAGCAAGAGTGTGAAGCAAGAGTGTCCAGCAAGAGGGTCAAGCAAGAGTGTCAAGAACAAGTGTTAAGAAAGGTTGTCTAGCAAAGAGTGTCACGAAAGAGTGTCTAGCAAGAGTGTCAAGACAGAGTGTCAAGCAAGAGAGTGTCTAGCAGAGTGTCAAGCAAGAGTGTCCAGCAAGAGTGTCAAGCAAGAGTGTCCAGCAAGAGTGTCAAGAGAAAGTATCAAGAAAGATTGTCTAGCAAAGGGTGTCAAGAAAGAGTGTCAAGCAAGAGTGTCGTGTCAAGAGTGTCCAGCAAGAGTGTGAAGCAAGAGTGTCCAGCAAGAGTGTCAAGACAGAGTGTCAAGCAAGAGTGTCCAGCAAAGAGTGCCCAGCAAGAGTGTCAAGAACAAGTGTCAAGAAAGATTGTCTAGCAAAGAGTGTCAAGAAAGAGTTTCAATCAAGACTGTTTAGCAAGAGAAAGTCTCGTGGAAAATGCTCCTTTTTGGAAGAGTTGATTGTCGCTTCTGGTGAAAGTCTCGTGAAAAATGCTTGTTTTCAAGAGTGTCAAGCAAGAGTGTCCAGCAAGAGTGTCAAGCAAAATATCAAGCAAGAATGTCCTGCAAAAGTGTCCAGCAAAAGTGTCAAGCAAGAGTGTCAAGCAAGAGTGCCCAGCAAGAGTGTCAAGAGAAAGTGTCAAGAAAGATGGTCTAGCAAAGTGTGTCAAGAAAGAGTGTCTAGACGGCTGGGGGGGTGCTGGCGCTGCTTTAGTTGATGACTCTGCGAGTCATCTCCGAAAACAAGAACGCTTTGAGTGCTACGCTTCTGTACAAAGTGACTGCATTCGGGTGTTCTATCAGGTTTTCTTCAATGCGCATGCGTGCCTTGGTCAAGTCATGTTTAGGACGCTTCTGGCAAATCCCTGTCACCCACAATCAGTTAGAAAAACCTTCGGAACGGCTTGCGTCCTGCACCAAACAGATTCTTGGAACATCTTGGAACCTTCTCCTATCCACAGAGTTTGAATCAGTGATGTTGAAAGAACAGCCGCAACAGTTTCATGAATCCTAGACATGGCGCAGAAGTGCTATCGTCAAAGGAAGTTTAGTGTGCAAAACTTCCGTGTTACGGACATTCAACAGCTGTTCAACCACCACTCATCATACACCACTCATCAAACACCACTCATCATACACCACTCATCATACACCACTCATCATACACC